TCTCTACCAATTACTGTCACAAGGAACCACCAACACGAAATTAAAAGAACCAAAATTACATGTTATACACACGACGTATATACCTTTTTGCCGTCTAATACGGTGGTGATCAAACCGTCGATCACCTCTTTGAAAAGACTGACATATCGACGCGTATTGCTAACGATTTTGTCCACCAACTCCGGGTCAAAGTCCAACAGATGGTCCAATTCGATGTACAACACCACTTGGTCGCGATTCGCGATCGCCGAAATTTGGCTTGCATAAGGAAACACCTTTTGTTTTGTGCCTGGTTCATCGACGTAAAACGTCGTCAGGAAGTCCTTCACTTTCTCTGAAAAGTAAGATTTGTCAAAAACAACAGTAATTCCATATTATATAGGTTTAAAGCACTTACCTCGCTTAATTAGACATTGGGTAAGGCTTAAAGTGACGTATGGCAATGAAAGCTAGATTTGGTGGTGTTACTTTTTTAGTGCTTTAGATGAAGAAAGCTGAACTGAGCTGCCTGTCACTGCATATATCTCATGTCAGCTAATGACAGCAAACACAAGTGCAAGGGGGAAAATGTAGTTCTTTCGAAGGACTGTTGATGTGATGAGGCTCGACATGATTTGGTACAGTACAATCCTAGATATGTTTGAAAATTCTTCTTCATATGTAAAATGTTTACAGAATCCACTCTTGTTGAAGTTGTTCATCTATTAACATGCTCCAGCGTACGAACAGATATCTTGATGTTAATGTGGAAACATGCACAGCAACAGCTCTTGAGGAATCGTTCATGATGAGCGTGAGGTCGATGGACAAAATAATAATAAAATATGATATTGTAAAAAAACGTTCGGTCAAATGAACAAGATTTTGCTGTTTAAAACAGCTGTATAGAGACATACGAGCTTCTCATGTGGGAATCGAAACCAAGCAGGCGTTGATGAGGCCGATAGCATGCAAGTTAGGAGAACAACGCAAAGGCATATATGCTTTCGAAGAGTAATTCTTTTCCTACAATATAGTTGTCAGTGACTAATAGCAAAAGTACTGAAAGCTGAGAATACTGAGGATATCAAATCGTTTTGCTTTTCCATCGCTCAAGGTGACGATCTTAACGGACACAAACAAGTAAACGGTAAACCTTTCAGCAGAACATTCCAACAATTGCACATCCAAAATAATATAATTCGCGATTAGCGTAACACTTCTATGCACGAAAGAAAACTCAAGAGATTATATTTGAGCCAAAGATTTTTACAATCTCAGCAATGCCCAGCGGCAGAGCTAATAATAGGCAATATCAGAATAGGAAATTTTTCACATCCAAAACCAGTGGATTGTATGATATCCTCCTGCGATCAAAATCACACAAAACACTAACGATGTTTCTAAATCAAGAACATACAAACTGAATACAAGAATATACTGCACACATACACTGAATACAAGAATATACTGCACACTGCACACATACAAGAATATACTGCACAGAAATTGCAACAAATAAATGAATTAAATAGCCTTTGCTACAATACACCGATAGATATTTATATTTTTCACAACTCCACAACAGAATAGCTCATTGAGATACAAAATCTATAAACAAAATATGCGTACTTACCCTTATCTTCTGAGTAATTCAATCTTCGTGCCATTCTTCGAGACTGATTCTGTTAAATCTATAACAAAGTGGTTATTAAATTACCGCCTATTCTTTGCGTAATATTACAGTACAATATCAGATCATCATGACATACTGGCTAATTGAAAAGCTCTTAACCAACCATATAATAATCTTGAATTAACGAAGTATGCGAAAGTTTATGAATAATTGATGACCTATCATGCTTGATATTCAGAAGTGCCAACAAAGTTTAGATTTCTAAAGCGGAAGTTCACTTAGTTATCTATCCTTAATAGCATTAAATAGTTGGCCAACCTACATAAATCTGTGCTTGTTTGATATAGGACTAAATCAGTCAGTCAGACCCTCTCGGTCTTTCATTCTTCCTATAAGAGTTCTTCATACATAATTGATTTATCGCTTATTATTGCATTTCTCAATTTTCATGTGAATAACGATGAATGTTCGTTAAAATCAATATTGCACGATTAAAATAGCGTTATTCATATAGTGCTGTATAGTCAAACAAAACAGACCTCATGGTCCTTATACAGATAACAATCAAAGCGTAACAGGCGTATTAACAACAGTTACTTTGCCGTTTTTAATCATCTTATAAATTATAAATCTGTGTTTCGTGTGTTGAAAATGACATCTCTCCTAAAACCGAGTATCGTGGGAGCGAACAAGAACTAGCAAGAACTCGATAGACAAAACTTAATGCTATAGGTGGGTTTTAAAGCAACTCAAAACTTTCAACGAAACAGTTATTGTCCCAATTGTGCATACTATTCGCTTTCATGTACGTTTCTTCGTCGCCGTTCAACAAAGATCTTAGTTATGTTTGAAAGCAGAAAAGGTTAAAAGGCTTTTTTTAACGACTAACCAGAACAGCTCGTTGCGGCTAACTACTTAGACTGTTCGTTAGATTGAACTCTAGAGAAACAGCGTTAGTGAAATCAAAGAATGTGTGTTCTCTGTACCTGTTGGCTATATATATTTCACTCGTTGCTTCAATTCTTTCTGTTTCTTTTCGTGTCCTTCTTTTCAGTTTATAGACAAGTATTATGCAATAACGGCACAGTTAAATCCTCTTTAAAGATAAGGAACTACACCAAGTATTTTTCTGCTTGCAGATGACTTGCTGCCTTAAAAATGCTAAACTACCACGGGTGTTGTTTCTGGTTCAAACTTGTTGTTAACTTCTAGGTTATGATTTTAAGTTATTTAACTAAAACTGATCATTTAAATGTTCTGCTTTCAGTGGGCTTCTCTTCGGCGAAAGACAAAGGCTGATGTTACCAAACCCTTATTCCACAGTTGTCAACCCTTCGACTAAAAAACAGCGGCATTCTGCGGGACGGAAAACTAACAACAGTTGCTACGGTACAGAAAAAAAAACTCATGCAGCTTCAATAAGTGGATACTCGAAACTCCTTAGTTTAGCGATCTCAGAAGAAGGTCTTCAACAATTGCACAGATTCTTCTTATTAGCTTAGATGCGCAGCGATTCTTTGATCATGAACTTAGCATTATCACTTTCCTGGTCAGCCATTGAAGCGTTTTTTTCGACAAGGTCATGACTAAGGCGCGGAATAGAATGACGAATGTTAGGGACGACTGTTGGCAGTAGCTGAGATGCTCCCGCTAATTCAAACTTTTAATGATCAAAAGTCTTCCAAAAGTAATCCATTCGCAACTGCTGCGCTGTATAGAATTGACCACATTTCTTTTGGTTAGTAATGATGGATGATATTCACATTTATTGCAAAGCACAGAATCCAAAGTCAGGCCACGTGAGAAGAATATAATAGGCTAATAGGACTGTGCTTTCCCAAAAATCTGTGTGCACATTCGAATATGCAGTGGATATGTAGAAGAATGATAATTTTATTGAAATTAACTATAGAGGAAGTTCTGTGAACAGAGAGAGTTAGCCATGAGTGCACTGTGCATGTCAAGTGGGTAAAAGTGTAACAGTTTCTATAAATATGAAACATAATTGATTGCAATTCTTTAAGGCTGTGAAACACATGCAATACCTGCATTTTTGGGCTCGCTGCAGTAGGGAGGACTAAAAAAAGAATGTAATGAGTGGATTGTAGATATACAAAGAAGGTGAAAGAACCATCGACGTTGCGTATGACCAGGACTTCTTTTTCTACGTGAATTTTAAGTGATCGGTAGTATTCAGTGAATTCAAATAGATGAGAAATGGCATGCGTGAACTAGAACGATTATCGTTGAGGACACACATAATCAATTTAACAAAGGTACAGAACATCTTATATTAAGAAGAGAATTCTGAAGCGCTTTCTTCTCAAAATAAACTAAATAGATTTTTCTAGGCTAAGATTTACAGGCTAACCCATCAGAATCGCAGAATATTGAATGAGAACATTTTTTTGAAAAGTAATGATACGCCTTTCGGTATAATGGTAACAGGCGACACAGTGTCGTCGGTGCTCAACTTGACGAATAAAAGACCAGCGTTTCTCCGGTCGGTTCTGGTGATGTCGAAAATAATTGCAAAATAAGAAGGGATCTACATCAAGTAAATTGATCAATATTAATGCTGCGGTGTGTCGGTTCCGTTTAGAGCTATCATCGAACTACTACCATTCCAAAGACTACATTTTGATCAGTTGAGCGTTATTCATAACATTTGATCTCAGTGTCTGAAGGTTGAATGGGCGGCATCGCATATTTCCTGAACAATCACCCCATTGATCTTGTAGAAGAAACTATTTCAGTAATTGACTACGAGCATCATAAAATTAAGCTTCTATTAAGCCGGTCCTACTATTTCCATTTCTGACTAAATGGTGATTGTGGCTTTCGAAACAAATGTTCCGAATTAAGAATACGCTTTCTCCCAATTATTCAATCAATGGAAATATGAGAACAGTGGATTTGTTAACCGTCTGTTTTCCATCAGGCCACTGGGCTTCAGGGCTGTCTCAAGCAAAAGGGTTTTTACATTCTCTTAATATACACTTACAACTTTGCATTAAAAAAATCACTCTGAAGTATTTTCTGATAATTGATCTGCTACGTCGACCAATCAGTAAAGTTTTAATCTAGGCAAACGGATGCCGTGAACACTGTTTTTTATGTAACTTAGGAATTATTGACTTGATAGTAAATACTTGCCTTTAGGACAATGGTCAAAAAGAAGCTGACCGTTTTAAACACCGGAGGCCTCAGCGGGGGCAACCTAGAAGTGGACGAACAGTCGGAGTTGAGCGGCAGAGCAGAGGAAAAATTAGAGGTATGATTCGACAGGAGCGTTGGTTTCGGTAACAGAGAGAAATTAGGTTGACTCATTTTGGCTTTGTGAAATGTGTTCATGTACATTCAGTTATAATCTGTCTTCACCGTTGATTTTTGGATGAAAGTTCATGTACTCCATGAACGTGTTAAGCACCTCAAAATGCTGGGTCACGCATTAACAGTTGGACACGTTGAGATATTCAGAGGATCTCGAGAGGAAAAATAGTTTAAAACAGTCAAGCAACGACGGTACCATGGATGGTTAGAAAATGAGACATCTTCTGAATCCCTGTTAACAGAAAGAAGAAAAAGAAAACTGTTCATTCGACATTTCGACCGAACTGGCAGCAGTCATCATTACTGGCAAATCACTGACTGGTGGCAAATATGGCCCATTATCAATCTGAAGTACCGTTTCTAACGGTCAGACAAATCTGGGTTATAGTGCTGTTCAAACTCAGTTACCCTGAGATATGATGACAAAACAACAAGATGATTGTTTCACGTTGCAGAAAAGTCAAAGAAGTCAGTGCACCCGTTACAATTTCTGTTTCACTTGACTGTGAGGCGAAGAACTCCTTGATTGATGTCTTTATTTGTCGCGGTGTCCGCTGACTACCATGACATTGCTATTGTTAAAGTCATGACGGTTTTCTGTGACTTATTGGCCAAGTCTAAAATCATTCCAAATGACTCCTACGTACGGTTAAAAGGTTGTAACATCGCTAGTCTAAGCAGTATAACAACGACCGCAGTTATACTACGTTCCTGCTCTCCGTGTTGGGACACGGATCAAACTTCTTTTACAGCAGCATTCTTTATGTTGCATTAAAGCCCGTTTTTAAGTGGTATAATTTTCTCAAAAATACCTAGAACATGAGACAAATAAATTAATGCAACTCCTTCAAGACTAAATTTAACGGCATATTACACCACTCCCTTACGCCCCGCTGCGTGTGGAGAGGCGCCTTTTAACAGACCACGGATCTAGGGTATTTGAGCACCCGCAGTTCCGAATCCATCTCGCATCACTTTGTTCCCTACAGCCACCTCGCTCTCAAGGTATAGAAATTGAGGAATTACAATCGCAACAGCTTGTTGTATCAAATTTGGAAGGTTTAAATACAAAATCGGCTAAATATTTCGCATATCCGTTTTTTAGAAATTTTTATGAGACGTCTCATTTCACTTCTGAGCATTCGGTCATTATGCAATAACAGAAAGGTCTGTCGCATGCATTTCGTAATACTGATTAAGGCAGATTTTCTAATGCAGTGTTTGTTGAGATAACGATTTATGCCGTGGTTTTTATATATACCGTTATCATTGGCGTTCTGTTTAATTAAAAGTGTCGAGAAACACCATGGCCGGTCCCAAGCCCGGATGAGAAAGGAGGAGGGTTGGAGACCGTGGCAAGTCTCCGTAAAAT